AGTCTTTTTTCCGTTCTAGTGTCCATGCTGGTGGAGAGTTGGGCCCAATACAACTGCAGAAAGTTGGAGGAACAAGACCTGGTGGAAACTCTGCATGGTATCCATTCTTGCCATCCTATTGCCCGAGCTGAAGCATTGGAAGTCCTGAATTGATGCCTGGGGGTGCTTAGGATCTGGCGGGGATGAAATAAGCTCTGGCTAAGCACTGCCAAGGCTGAATATTGGTTGTCCTTGTTTGAATAGCATTCCTCCCACAAGGTTTTGCCATTTCTCAGTTGATGAGAAATTCCTCTAAGGAAAGTTGTGGCTTTGGGGAGGGGGCAGTGTTGCTCAGCTTCAGCTGCTGTGCCAGTTATGATTCTACCTTGACCAGGATGCTCCAGTGATGGCAACTCATGCCCTGATCACTGCACAGTTAGACTACTTGAATGTGCTCTACATGGTGCAGCCTTTGAGGATGACTGAGATGGTACAGACCAGTGGTTCTCAACCTGTGGGTCGGGACCCCATTTGGGGTCGATCGACCATTTCACGGGGGTCGCCAAGCAAGGCTGTCCGCCATTTTTTTTGTCCGCCATTTTTTTCCCCTTTTCCGGCGGGTGCCTTACCTCCCTTGGGCTGGGCCAGCTGGTGGTCGGCCTGTTCCATCTCTGCCACTTGCCAGCTACGCCTCGGCCGGCGCAGGGGGCGGAACCACGCATGCGTGGCGTTCCCGGGTAGGGAAAGTCCTCGACTTACGACCGGTTGGGTAGTCCTCGACTTACGACCGGTTCAGTCCTCGACTTACGACCGGTTTAGTCCTCGACTTACGACTGGTTTAGTCCTCGACTTACGACCGGTTGGGGTCGCGGCATTAAAAAGGTTGAGAACCACTGGTACAGACGGTTCAAGTGGCAGCAGCAATGTTCGTCAAAGGACGACTCTGTTAGAGCTGAATTTCATCCATCCTACAGTTCATGTGTGTGCTGCTGGCTGACTTCTGGACCCAATTCAAAGTATGAGCTATCATTTTAAAGTGGCTTCACCCAGTTTTATCAGGCAATTCCCTACCAAGATAGAATCTGTCTGGCCAGTATGAACACCTAAAGGTTGGTCTCCACATTCTGCCAGGCTTATGGGGTGAGGGGACAGGTGAGAGGCCTTCTTGGGATGGCTTCTATTCATTGGGAACCCTGAAGTGAGGATGTTGCCTTGTATTTTAGCAAGTTCAAAGTGCTGAAGTTAAAACCAGCTACCATTTGGCCTCTTCCCTATTTCATTGTTAATTGTTTGGACCTTATATTATGGTTTTCACTGTGTATATTAATTGTGTTGTTTGTCTTCCAATGTCCTAATCCAGCTTATCAATATGGCAAACAAATAGGTTTATTGTTTTTCTGCCAATTCCAAACTGGCCATTTTGGTACTGGGGCACATTTTGGGGTGGTGATATGTGGCAGACTGCCAGAGTCATGCCCCTCTCTGGTCATCTGTGGTTTGTGGGGGCTCATAAGGAGATCCCACATAATCCATGTGGTGGTGAACATGGGAGGCAGGTAGATGTGTTCACCTGGGAGATCTGCCAATACCTTGCCCAGTGTGTACTTGAGAATAAAATTACTTCTAGCAAACTCAGTGTTGTGAAATCATATTTATTATCCCTGCCCAGAGTTAGTATGAAGGGTGCCCACAACCATATTGGAACTTGGGAGGGTGATTGGGACAGCACTGGCTGTTGCAGGAGTTTTCCTAATTCATTCTGGTTGTTTAACAGGTTGTGTTTGCAGCAAGGGAAACTGGGGAGGTTTGTTTTCTGGGGGAGGGAGTGGAGCTAGTGAAGCCAACCACTGTTATGGAAGTAGCTAACTTGCATCTCTGATCAGCTGAGAATTTTAGGGTAGGAGGTGGAAAATGCAAGTGGCAGAACAAGGCTGGAGTTCCTACCAAGCAGTAGCTCCTTTATCCACCCAGAGGAATGAACAGAAGTGGAGCCAGTCAACTTGTAAAGTTGTCAGCTTGTTTTTCCAAAATAACCTGGAGCACTGTAGCATCATGGGGGAAACACAAGGGAGGGGTAAGGTGCCAATGTCAGATTAGCAGTTTGTTGGCATATGAAAGGGCCTTACCAAGAGTATCTCAGAGTGTGATCAAAAAAGTCAATATGGCAGATGCAAACATCTAAGTGAACCAGTTGGAGCTTTGATTGAACTATAGTGGCTGCCATCTTGACTTTCTTGATCATACTGTACCTTACACACACCCTGATCCTTTCTATGTGTGCACAATGTCTGCTATTATGGGAACTGATCCGTCGGATGGATTTCTCAACACAACATTCTGCAATCCTGGGATCTGAATTCAGCATATAAATCATTTATTTAAGATGTTTTTCTATTTCTATCCTGTGACTTTTTCATATAATCCATAACTGTTCTGCTGTATATTGCAAAAGGTACTTTTTGTTTTAATTTCCTTGTATTTTGTCTTGGCTATATTTTTGCTATATAACTTCATGCCAACAGACTGAAAAAGGTGGTGGGAATTTAATTGATCCTTTCAGCATAAACAAATAGATTATCATCCAAGCAATTTACTGTTCTAATTTCTGTATTTTTTTTTTTTTATCAATATAAGATTTTTATTGTTTTCATCATAAAAAAAACAACACCAGTATTACACAATATTATTACACAATATTATATCCCACCCCCCCGGACTTCCCAAACCAAATCCCAGGCTAATATTCAGATATAAGTAAACGAATATTAATTTCTCTAACTCCGCAAACTCTATTATAAACAATCCATCTCCTCCATATTAGAGATCACCAAAATCTTTACCAATTCAGCAACATACTTTAACACCGCCAAAAAAAAAACAAAAAACAACCATTCATTAAATTTAGTTTTTCCCTGTCACCAATAACTCTTCCTCTCTATTACAACATAATTATCATATTTGTAGTAATAATATAAGTGCATTTCTATTTTTAAAAAATATATTCTATCATTTCATCAATCTACACCTATAAAAAATCATTTTAAGTCCTTAATAAAATTTACAACTTCAATTACATAT